ATCCATCCATCCATCCATCCATCATCCACCCATCCATCCATCCATCAATCCATCCATCAATCCATTCATCCGTGTATCCATCCATCCATCCATCCATCCATGTATCCATCCATCTGCCCATCCATCCATGGATCCATCCATTCATCCACCCACCCAACCCCCTTCAGTCCTCATCCATTCCTCGTTGCCCACAGATTTGGGGGGTGGCTGAGGGAGGCCCCACCATGGGGACAGTTGGGGGAGGCCAGGTCATGGGGGCAGTTGGGTGATGGCCGGGCTGTTGGGACAGTTGGGTTGAGGAACGGCCCGGGGAGGCTGGACTTGGGGGGTTGTTGAGGGAGGCTGTGTTGGAGGGTCAAAGGGATGGTAAAAGGTGGCCAGGTCATGGGGACAGCTGATGAAACTTCGGTTGATGGGACACCGAGGTCAGGAGATGGCTGGGTCATGGGGGTGGCTGATGGAGTTTGAGTTGATGGGTCACCCAGGCCAGGAGATGGCCAGATCATGGGTACAGCTGATGGAGCTTGGGTTTATGGGACACCCAGGCCAGGAGATGGCCAGATCATGGGAACGGTTGATGGAGCTTGGGTTGATGGGACACCCAGGCCAGGAGATGGTCAGATCATGGGGACAGCTGCTTGGGTTGATGGGACACTCAGGCCAGGAAATTGGCTGGGTCATGGGGATGGCTGATGGAGCTTGGGTTGATGGGACACCCAGGCCAGAAGATGGCCAGATCATGGGGACAGCTGATGGAGCTTGGGTTGATGGGTCCCCCAGGCCAGGAGACGGCCAAATCATAGGGAAGGCTGATGGAGCTTGGGGTGATGGGACACCCAGGTCAGGAGATGGCTGGGTCATGGGTGTCGCTGATGGAGCTTGGAGTGATGGGACACCCAGGCCAGGAGATGGCCAGATCATGGGGACAGCTGATGGAGCTTGGGTTGATGGGTTCCCCAGGCCAGGAGATGGCTGGGTGATGGGGACAGCCCAGGGGACCCAGACGGGGACCAATGGCCGA